CCCACGCCCCGCCAGGCCCTCCTGGGTGACAAGCTGCCGGCCTGCGCCGCGTCAGACTATGAGAAGTGGACCGTGCCCAACGACGACCGCACGCAGCGCTGCCTGCTGGGTGGGTGGGCCCACGGGCGGCCACCCCTGCGCGGGCGCTGCGGCGCGGGGCTATCGCCCCCGCCATTTCTAGCCGCGCCGGCAACGCGGCCTGCTGCCTGCGCGTGTGGCCAGCCTGCAAGCAAGTGCTCTTCCCCGCCCAAACCCCTGAACCGGCGCCTGACTGGCTGCTCCGGTCGACTCAGCCACGGCTCACGTTTAACACCCCCAAAAGAACACCCCCCGCCTCCCACCAAACCTCAGGCCAGCAGATGAGCTTCACGCGCCGCCGCATGGAGTCGTCCTGCATCAACGGCGGCGACTACAAGCGGCCCCTGCCCGTCAACACCACGTGCCAGTGCAGCGCTACCGACGTGGAGTGCGACTGGGGCTGGGCACGGGACTGCCACAAGTGCACGCAGCTGCCAGACGTGGGTGCCAGCTGGCGGGGAGGGGCGGGTCTGGTCTGGCGTGGGGGGTTTGAGGAGGGGCAAGGGGAGCTCCTGGGCGTTGAGTGCGCGGGAGAACATACCGGGTGGTGTCATGCGTAGGGTGGCGCGCCCTGACAGAGGTGCTGCAGAGATGGAGTTGTGGCATTGCTGCACGCTGCGAAGCGCTGATTGCACAATCCCGCACACACACACACACGCCTTCACACACAAACACACAATTCCAGGTTCAAAATCTACATACAGGTTAGCATCTGACATGTAAACCAACCAGCACACACACGTGCACACACACACACACATACACACACACACACACTCTCTCTGACTCTCTCACACAGGACAAGCTCCCCACCTGCCCCCACGTCAAGGACGGCAGCTACCGCGTATCCAGCAGCGGCTTCCGCCTCGTGCACGGCGACGTCTGCAGCGGCGTCGACAAGATCATATTCGACACAGATGGCAAGGGCACAGGCACCGGCCCCGCCCCGCCGCCCTCGCGCCGCCGCCGCGGCGGCGGCGGGCGCTCCGCACTGTTCACGCTGTTTGTGCTGCTGCTGATTGTGGCGGGGCTCGCCGCCGCGTGGTTTGGGTTTGTGGCCAGCCCCGCTCAGAAGGCGGGGGCGCTGGAGCTGGCGGGTGCGGCCGGCGTGTTCTGCTGCGGGCTGTGGGCGCTGGCGGCGGACGGCTTCGGCGCGCTGCTGGCGCGGGTCGGGGCGGGCGCGGGGGCGCTGCGGCTGGGCGGGCGCGGGGGCGCGTACGCGCCGCTGGACGAAGAGGTGGGGTCTCGCGCGCGGGAGGGGGGGTTTGGGTGGTTCAGGGGCTTGCGTTCAGGTGGTGCAGGGGCGGTTGTTGCCGAGGGTTTGATAGACACACCGCCAGCAGCGGCGCGCCAGCCGTGCTTTGGCCGGCCGGCCTGGGCGCACGGGAACCCAACGTTATTGCAGGTTGGGGTTGGTCAGCTGGCCGACCTGATGGTGATGCAGCTTCTTGATCTCTGCATGTCGCAAACATACGCTGAGGTTTGAGGATCTGCTGCCCGTGCTGATGTCATCGTGGCGCATGCGCCCCCGCCCTCCTCCCCTATGCCCAGCTAAACTACTTTGAGCCGCTGCCGCACGCGGAGGACGTCCAAACGCTGGTGCCGCCGCCGCTGCAGCGGGCCAGCACCGGCGACGGCGGCGGCGGCGGGGGCGGGGCCAACGGCGGCGGCGGCGGCGGCGGCGGCGGCTTTGACCCGCGTGAGGACGGCGGCGACGATGACGATGGCGTGTTCCGGTTGTGAGCCTCCTCTTTTGCATGATACTGTGTCCATCCAGCTGCTGTCCCGATCAGGGACACGCATGAATATAATACACAGGCTGTACTGCTGCGTTGTCAGCTTTCTTTGTTTTTGAGCTGCCCTGGTTTTGCCTCCGTTGGCGTCGCTCGCCAGCGACCAACCCTTGGAGACTATGGTAGGCACACCTGCACCCCTCATTGAGCTGGTTTGCGTGTGACACTCTTTCCGGAACGGGCTGGATTGCGTGGACGGCAGCGGCGCTGGTGCGGGCAAACGGCAGGGCCACCTGGCCGCCAGTCAGAGCAACGCCGCTGCTGGGGCAAACCAGCCAGCTCGGAGTAATCACTGCACATGGCATGCTGTTTCAGGTGTTTTGCGTTGATTACTAAGCACAGGAGAGAAGCAGCAGAGCCAATGCTCGCAACTGCTTGCAGCCATACCCTGGGCACTGCTGGACCGGGCCCCACCTCTGACAACAAGTGCCTGCTCAAAATCGTCATGCCGGCTGCGGCATTCAAGCGAGGGTTGCGCTGCAAACTGGTGGCTGCGCCGCGCTTGGCCCGCGCCGAGTCGGGCAGCGCCCTGGAGCCCGTGCGGCTCGAGGGGTGCACACGTGCAGCCGGGGCGGCAGGGGCCATGGGTGCTGCAGATGCGTGTGCGCGACCGCATCACGACCGCAGGGGCGGCGAGATCAGAATGACGCCGTCCCCGCGCACAAACAGGAAGGGTATCTGGCGCTTCTGGGTCTGCGAGAGCGGGCGTAGGGGGGGCGCATGCGACGCGGGCCGTGGTCTTGTCAGGCTACTGCGGGCCTGCACATAGGGCCGCCCCAACCCGACTCGACCTCCTGCAACGGACCCAGCTGCTGCTGAAGCGCTTGAGTGCAGCTGCCAGGACCCATGCCGTCCGCAACCACTTGCACTCCGTCCGCCACCTGCCCCGCTTGCGCTCTTTGCCAAAGCGGCTGTGCACGGCTTCCGCCTGCTGCCCGCGGCTGCTTCGCCCCTGGCCTCCTCTCTGGATCCCTTCTCCCACCCGACCACTCTCTCAAGCCTTGCCGCCTCGCGTCTCATCACACGCCTCCCGCTCCCTTGCACCACTGGCAACCCCGCTGCCC